CCCCCTCCCCTCCCCCCCGCTTCCCCTCCTTATACTGATGGATAAATTGTTGTGGTCGTGCCACGGTGATGCTGGAGTTTTGCGCTAATTTAAATGTTGTGGTTGTTGATCCTGACAGGTGGGACGGAGGAAAGGTTGTTTGAGACAGTGGCGAAGCGATCCCGAGCGGAGATAGAGTCAGGACTACAAGGTGTGTATGCGAAGAGGAGAGAAGACACAGTTCTATGACGGACCTTGGAAGTGGAGGTCTCTTCATCGGTGGGTTCATGATACTCAGTTTAATCCCGTTGAGAGGATAACTCGGGGAAACTTCGACACGTTCTGTAAACGCAAGCTTCCATTTGTCTACACCCTCCTGGATGAGAAATCGGAGGCTGACGTGGATGCTCTTGTCTCAATGATCAGAGACGTGGCCCTGAACTACTCTGGGCAGTTCAGTTTTGTCTATACGCCTATTGATGAGGTAGGGGACCTTCTTGATCATCTTCGCTGCCAATATCGAGGTGCAAGTTATGCTGTGTTGGAAGATTTTGAGGACGACTACAGATACTGTGTTGAGACTAATCCTATGGAGAAGTTGACGGTATCCCGACTGCGAAAGCTCTGCGATGGATTCTTATCTCGAACTGCAACTCCCGACCATGTGGTGTCAGAACCCATTCCAATCGCCAACGTCGGTCCAGTCTTCAAAGTCGTCGGCAAAACTCTAATGTCCACACGACTCCACAGTAATGGATGTGACTAAGGACGTCCTAATCCATTTCTATGCTGAGTTTGACGAGAAATGGGAGGATGTCGAAGGGGAGTTAGAGAAAGTTGCAGTGGAGTTCGAACATGTGCCCACTTTCAAGGTCGCCAAGATGGAAGGGATGAAAAACGAGCAACCCAAGGACTTCCCAGATCTGGACTACATTCCCTGTACCTGGCTCTTTCCTGCCAAATCCAAGAACAGACCAGTGGTCTTCAATCAAACATGGTCGTTCGAGTTACGTGTACTCTCTCAGTTCGTCTGCAACTTTTCCAGCTTACCCATAGAAACGATACCTTGCAAATCAGAAACCCATAAAAAGAAGAAAACTAACGAAAGCACTAAACTCGACACGTGGGCTCGATCATCAACCAGTCAGAATGATACTTCTGAGATTGCCAATCAAAAGAGGATAACGAGGACTACTTCCTCCTCATTGTCATCGTCATCATTATCATCATCATTATCGTCCTCATCGCCCTCATCCGGTTATCACCTCTCATCCTCCTCCGTGACACTTTCTGAAGCTTGTCCGTCAAGTCAGACCGGCGTCACAACCATTGACGCCATCCAGCCCTGCGGACGACCGCCAGACACACCCCAGACGGGAGCATGCATGAGATCGCTCGTTGGGGAAGTGCAATCCACGTCCTCGAATGCAACTAAATGCCAACCAACATGGGGCAGCAATAACAGTTGTCATCAGTGTAACGCCTCGGAGGCTACGGATATGAATGTGACTGGAGTGATCAAAGAAACTTCACAAACTGATAATGGATGTGTTGATCGGACTGTTGGAAGTTGCCCTCTGAACGCATCTGACACGAAGATGTGATCAGATTCATGTCCCCTACATAATCCCACATGATAAACGTTCTAAGGGACACCGCCTTGTTCTCCTCCCCCAAAAACAGAAATAAGGATTTACATTTTTTGTATTTTATGAGCTTCGAGGTTCGGGGTCCTGCTTTTGGAGGTGATAAGAGCATCCCCCAGAAGTGGGGCCTGGTCTGAAGGCTCCATCTATTGGTGGGGAGCTGCATCTGCTGGAAAATAGGTCGATCATCCCACATTATACATCACAGTTCACCTCACAGTTGGTCTCAGACATAGTAGCCTTGTTATTCCTCATGAGAGAGTAACCTACTCTACTCAGCCACGTGGTAAAACTTACCAGAGTGCAAAGTCACAGTTTAAGTCAGTCCATTTTCTCTTCTTTTTTTTGCGGCGCCTGCCTTGATCCTTTATCCTGGTTGCTGCAGGACTCCTCTTTGGCCATTCTGAATCCTTGAGAGCTGGGGCTGGGAGATCCTTGCTTGGCCGGCGATCAGGGAAGTAGAGGTGGTGTTTGAAGGTAGGAGGGTATGAAGGTAAGAGGGGGGGGACAGGAAGAATCTGTCTGAAGAGGGGGTGCGGGTGGGCGAAGGCAGGTAAGAGAGCAGGGGATTTGTGGACATGGGGTAAGGCATGTGCTCGTGGGGGGAGCTGGAGAGGGTATGCAGGGAGGTGGGGATCGGTAGGGGGAGGCAGGGATGTCATGGGAAGGATGCGAGATTGCCGCAGGAAGGAGGAGGGAATTTGTTAGTTGGAAGGGTACTGAGTAGTGCTCCATAGGTTGTCTCTTCCATTGTTGCTCTAATGTCTGCCACGGTTTCCAGATAATGTTGTTTTTTGGGCCCAATTGCTGGGTCCACCCATATTGTTTGCAAAGCATTCATCAAAATCTGCAGTAGTCACCGGATCAGTTTTGTGAACTTTTGTCTTAAGATCTGCTTCAGGGTCAGCCAAGCTTCATGGATTCTGCTTCCTATTGTGTCCAAAAGAACTGCCTTCGCTTGTAGTAACTGAAAGTGTGTTGTTTTCATCTGAGCGAGCATCTAGCTTGCTATGCTGTCATCAAGACAGCGGGCCCGGTGTATCTGAATGGGTTCAGAGTTGACAAATCCCATTGCCTTTAGTATCCTGTGTGGTGTCCCAAGAGAAGGGATTTTGTGTTCCATGGGAGATGTGCTCCTTGTGAGATAATGCCACGCAGAGTCCCACCATCTCCATATTTGGGCAGCCATTAGGCTGTCTAGTAGACGGTGTTCCATTACAGCATGCGGTTTCGCGTGGATCCGCCACAACAAGAACATAGGGGAGACTGTAGGCAGGCATCTGTAACTGATCTGCCATTGAAATGCTCCGTTACTAGTGGGCTGATAGATCACCCGGAGGAGCTTGTAAAAATCAGATTGCTGAAGCGGGGAATCCCGTTCACATCTTTTTTCAGTTATATTTGCTATGTTGATGGGCTTTTGTGCGGCTCTATATCCATTTGTCACCGTGTATTGCCATAGAAAGGTACTAAGATCTATTGACCACTCCCACTCCCATTCCTAAGCATCAAAAGGAAGCTGACAAATGGAAGTGCTTGGCTCACAGAGGAATTTTCATTCTCTATGACCCTGACTCTGATTAGTTGTGACCACTTTGTGGAGTAGAAAGTCATCATTTCTAACTATCTTTGACCTCTGCCACTTGGCAAGGCTGACACATAGGCCTGGAGATGTGCCGCCTCAGCAATGATGTGACTTACCTGATAGACAACCACTGGGAGCGGCATCTCCTGCACCGGTGTGAGGGAACCCCGGGAGGGTGAAGATTGTTGACTGCTGAAGCACGGGGCAACAACGTCTGTCACCCACTGTGCCTGCTTCAGGGGTCCTCAGCCGTGCAACAGGAAGTGGGTTTTGGTTTGCCTTTCACACCCCCACTTAAAGACTGAGCCTGAAGGCTCATAACACGCAGTTCGTGAAAAGTAGACAAGTTGTGAAAAGTGGACCTGCTTCAAGAACTTTACGAGCAATTTTTGAAAAACTAGTTTTGAAAGTGTTAGCACAAGACATGAATTGGCCACTGTCACAGAAATGTCAACAAAAACCGCAGAAAAACATAAACATGTTATTGCCAATATGTCAAGGCTTCATTTTTTTTTGTGTACGGGAGTAACTATTTTCTGACAAGTCGTATCATGACTCTTATGCACAAGTACATGGCATAGCCTTCTTGGCATCTGCAAATGCAAGAAATGTAAGCTCATTAGTATATGTGGAGAAATGAGCCTCTACGGAAAGCTAGGGGAATCAGGACAGGACTCGTCTAGGGGCGGGTGAAATTTCCTTTCGCGTCAGGGGKGGGCCTATGCCACCGCATGGCCCATAAGACGCCCTGTCCCGGGCCTCCAAAATTCTAGGGGAGGCTCAACCGGATTCTCAACTTGGCTGGGGTCATGTGCTGGTGGTCTAAACCATATGCTTAGCAAAGGCAAAAGAGACGAGCAAATATCAGTAACCAATCCTCGAGCTTCGCCTTCATATTGCAATGCAGCGAAGTGTGGCAGAGCGCGGCCCATTTTACAGGAAGCCTCGGAAGGTGCAAAAAAAAAAAAAGACAAATAAAAATGAGGAATAATTTTCTCTAGCAAATAGAGTGCATTTCTTAACATGTCTAAAGGAGCACTAGCAAAAAATGCAATGACAGTTATTGTGATTTCTATGTTCATTTTGCAAAGGCCACAGGTCCTGCCAACAAGGAAGGGGTAGCACACCACATTCCAACGCACCACCGAAAGGACTAAGGGAGCACATACAAGGCAGTGCAAGACCGCCAAAAGGCGGGGAGGAATGAGCCGCAAGGATGAGGCGGAAGTGTTGGGGAGATGGCGGTGACAGCGGACATGGCAGCGGCGGGGAAGATGGCTTCGACAGCGGACATGGCAGCAGTGGGGAAGATGGCGGCGACGAAGGGGAAAATGGTGGCAATGACGGGGAAGATGGAGTTGTCGATGTCATCTCCGCGATCCTCAATCTCCGGGACTATGGACAATTAGCAAATTACGTACTAAACAACTTCAAAAACAAGTGTCGGCTTTTCTGTGGAGGGGGGATCATGAACAAGAAAGAGTAATTCCCAGAGTAGCATGGCTGACGTTGATTCAACCTAAGTCCAGGGGGGGGTTGGGAATTCTTAATCCAACTCTGCAAACTCAAGCTTTGTCCCTACAATGGATAATAGATCTCATTCTTGGTATTGACAAGCCTTGGCAGCCAATGGCACTAGAACAAATAAGAAGATTGGCACCGAGAGCTCCTTCAGAGGTCCAACCCCTCACTTGGGTGGAGGATAGATTTTGGAACATTCCTCGCGTGCACATTCAAAGGAAGAAGGGGAGAGAGGAGCAGCCCGAGTTGATCTTCTCCTAGATAACCTATGGGTTTCTCTACTAAAAATGTGGCGTAGACTGCCCTTACCAATTAAACCTTTTCCCTCACGATTTGAGGATATTTTGAGGCAGCCTTTGTTCGGGAACAAATGGATAACTGACAATAATGGTTGTGTTTACAATAGTTCTCAATCTCCCTGGTCTCAATGGGTGAAAAAAGGGGTATTAAGGGTCAAAGATATTTGGGACCAGAAAAAAAAAGGTTGGTTGACCCCTACTCAACTTAAGAAGAAAATTTCATATGCCCACAGGCTACCCCAAAACCTCGACCAAATTATTTGCTCCATTCCTCTGGGTTGGGTGAGGGTGCTAAAGAAAGGAGTAAGACTACAAGAAGAGGATTGGGTTATGGTTGTGCATGATCCAGAATGTTGGCAGGTGGGTCAAATAATGAGTCTGGTGGAGGAAGGAGCTTTGGTTGCTCTCTTCATAATAACCACAAATCACCTCCTCCTTCCCTCTTTTTTTTTTTTTTTTTTTTAAAGCAGTCCCACCAGTGCTAAAGATGCTGTTGAGGGCAGACATCGCTAGCACCTGGGGAGGGGCTCCGTCTATTGGTGGGGAGCATCACCTGCTGGAAAATGGGTCCGGCGTCCCTGATACAGTATAAAACAGTGTGATCCAGAGAAAGATACATGGATGATGACTAGAAGATGCCTTCCAGCATTGATACTCTGGAGACCAGAGGATTGACTGGGCAGGTGTGAGGATGCCGGTAAGTATGACATTGGGGCTCAGGGAGTGAACCTCTTCGCCCTGTACTGGGTGCCAGATACCTACTGTTGCCGGACTAGTGCCTCCCTCTCCCCAACAGCCTGACACCCTGGAGCTCTTTGCCTCCTCTTATGTGCGTAACAAAGTCCCTTTGGTCCATTCTGTGTCCCGCGGGAATCGGAGGGGACCACTGGGGGGCACCAGTGGGTCCACTCTTCCACCCTCCCCCTGCCGTCCACTGGGCACATCAATCCCTGAACCCATCAAGCCCTGAAAAAAAAAAAAAAGAGGAAATTGCAGGTCGGAGAAGGCAGACATAAGCTAGGGATTGGCTGTGTCAGACCATTCTGTCTCAGAGCCTTTCCTCCAGAGCCAGCGGGTGCGGTGGGAAGGGGTCCGGGAAATCCTCTGCGGGACGCATGGGAGTGTTAGGGTCCACGTC